ATATATATATATATATTCATTTGTATACGACACATAATGTACTATGTATTGTAGATAGCATATCTGATGTATCATGCATAACATACAGTTTAGCAACCAACTTCAACGCCAGCACACAGTGCCGAGGCCACAGAGACGGCCAACAGATGCCAGGACTCAAGAACTTCCTTAACCCGAATCTCCCCAACCCTTGAACCGTATGTTCCGAACTTCGGGTTGGCCGAGAGAGTCTAAGCTTCGTGCAGTCGACTGGTCGAAGCTGAACTGCGTAGGGAAGATGGCCTGCACAGCATGTGTAAGCGTCTGGAATAAAGTATAAGAACTCGAAACATACCATCCAAATGTGCATGTATGTGTAGGCATGTATGTCTGCATATATGAACGTATGTCTGCATATGCACATACACCACAGTGTGTGTGTGTCTGTGTTTGCTGGTACATTCTTCTAAAGCTTACACTTTTCCTTGTGCCTACAGTTTTTGTTATAGTTGTACATTTTGTTGTCGGTATCGTTTTGGTGTACATACATTTGTTTATTCGTGTAGCACACTGCACATATACACAAATCAGTGTACACGTACGTATAAACTATGCCGTCTGTTTTTGTTGCATCATTGTCTTCTCAGTGTTGTATGATATAGAAAAGCTGAAGCAGATGTGTGTGTGTGTGTGAATGCATATGTGTAGATTTGCATATGCACACTACATAAATTTCAGTGTGGGAAATACATAGACACATACGAGCATCAGTGCACCGTTGCCAGTCAGCATGTCCGTGCGAATGTCTGCACTCAGCTCGTGTTAAGTGCTGTCGATCGACCTCCGGATGCTGACGACCCCCGTGGCAAAACGCAACCGCCTACCGGAAGCGTTTCATCTGATGAAATGCCTCGATGTAGATGGTGTCAGCATCGGTAATAGGGGTGAACCTGTCTTCAGAATGGACTTGAACTACTTGGCTTCCGTGTCCGGTAGCTGCGGCCAGGCGGGGGCTAATTACACAAAAAGCGAATCGCGGCAGGGACCTTGAGCTTTGGCCTACAGTATGAATCCTGAGGATTCGGCTTCTCTGACACTAAGCCGCTGCGAAAGCATCGCTGAGGGCAGCGCGTAACTTCAATGTCTGATGTCTTCCCAGCAGCATAGTCATTGCCGACCAGCTTAATGTCAACCTGTCGTGCTCGATCAACATAAGATAGGAGCCATAATGACTATAATGGGGTTTCGAGGAATGTTATACAGCTATAAGAAGGAACCCCATTTAGGCACCTATATTAAGGAAAAGGTGTAAAAGCGCGCGCAGTGCTGCCGCTGCGGATTAGGATTTAGGGTTCAGGTTTAGGGTTTAGGGTAACAACCTGCAAGTCGCAAATGATGCCAGCAAGACATTCTCCAGCTGTGGATTGATGTCCCAGCCCCGGTAGATGTGAGAAGACTTGACCACGGCCGCTTTCACATGGGACGCCTCGAGGAAAGGGACAAGCACCAAACAGTGCAATTCTGCGGTACACCGCACGATCTCACAAAGAGCTCTTGGATTTGATAGTATCTTGCTGTTCTCATTCCTTCTAGTGCAGCACTTGCAACGTCAAGGCATTCCGGGCCGCCCACCGTGCCCCACTCTTGAATGTCAACAGCACTAGTAGCTTGTATTCTCATGCCGAACTTCAGCCAGGCAGGAAGCAACTGCACGGCATGCCTTCCAGTAGTTATCTGTCAAGAACGGCGTCTGGGACGGATTTGTCGTAGCCACCTGAATGATGTGTCATGATCGCGGTTGGCTACGACGTTCTGCAGGGAAAACCGAAAGAAAAGAGAAAGAAACCCGCCCCCTGACTCGGAAGCAGCTAATAAGCGAAGAGGAACTCCAACGGCTTTCTTCCAGTAAACTTCATCTTGCCCCACCTACAGTGTTGTCCTATAGAGGGCTTCGCCGATGCCTACTGATCCCACGTGCCGCGGGCGCAGACCACATTGAAGATACAAATACAAATAGCCGCAGCTGAGATTCCCCCAACCAAAAAAACTTAAAACTCTCGGCCTTGAAGTGGATATCCTCGTTCTGCGGATATGCCGGATCCCGCGACTCGTCGATCTGCCAACCTTGGCCGGATCGGAAAGCCTGTTTGGAGTGTAAGACAGCTGTGGAGATGTACACGTAGATAGGTAGACAAACAGATAATCGGTGTGTGTGTGTGTGCAGGCATATTTATAGCCATCACATGCTCTGGGCAAGTTGCGAACCTCATTGATGCTTTCGCATTCCGGGACACTGTAAACCTGACAGGCTCCTGTCAGCCACATCAACCTACTCTTGCGCAATTACTCCGTCCCTTCGAACACTTCTCAGCGTGTACATCCTCTTGATGCGATGCCAAGCTGCGGATGGTACAGAAACCCTGAGGATCGCAGGTGCAACCTGGAAAAGGGATCAAAGCAAATGCTTGGGTTGATTAAAAAACGTACATGTCCAGAGACTCATCGAGATCAAGCCTTGATGTCTGGCTCTAGCCCGTTGCCAAACACTCAACAAAGGAACTCTTGTCAGCCAATGTTCAAGAAAGGTAACACGCCCCGACAGCACATGACATAAACCGGCAACCCAACATCTGCCCGCCACTCTTTCTGTTAACTTCCGCGTGTGTTCCCAGAGCCTCAGCTAGAACAAACGAATTGCAGCCCACAGTTCAACACAATGGAAGTTTCCGTTGTGCCTGGCTCGCCGGTGGCTGGCAACTGAACACCGTCCACCCATCGGAACCTGAGGCTATGGAGGCCCGCCTAATGTGGGAGTCTTCATCACTGGAATGGAGTGTACGGTCATAATCTACTATACTTGCTAGGGATTATAAGGTTGCTAACAATTCCGGCCCTTACTCTATGGCTATAGGAAGTATGGACCCCTAATACGGATCCTTGCAGAAAGATCCTGATAATAAGCAACACTTAAGGCTTGTGGAAGGGCCACCGATGTGCCCGAGAACTGTCAGTGCGAGGCTGCGGGCAAGGAACTCTCCCAATTATGTCTCCCGTTGAGTGAGCTCTGACACGCAAAAGCTTCGTGGATTTATGTATCAGTGTGTGTGTATATATATATATATATGTGTGTGTGTACTTCTATATATATATATATGTACATACATGTTATGCATTACGTGCATATACACAGTATATGCAGGACACCTAATGACTAATCAACTAATCTTTTACGATTACTGACAGTGTTTAGCACATGTGTATGTGCCTATACGTACATGTACACATATATCATCACACATACAGATATGTGTATATATATGATATAATATGCATATGATATAACATGATATGTGTGTATATATATAACCGTAATCATATATATATATATATAGACATTTGGATCATGGTTCATATGTATGTCTGTATGTATGTATGTATGTATGTATGTAAGTATGTATGTATGTATGTACCTGTGCACATCTATGACTTTTAATGCATCACCGACTGCCTACCATGCCAAGGCTGTGGGAGACATCTGAGCAGCCGACTCGTTGCAGTTTGCCAGTTCCGGATTTCCGATGAGGTTAAAGCCACGAGGGCCTGAGGGCAGCATACAAACAGCTTTGCAGCTTCACTCTGTCCCATCGGTGTTATTTATTACGACAAGCTGAAGCCATGTAGTGCAGCAGTGTCCGAAGCAGCACCTCCCACAAACACGCGTGCTCCAATCTGCTGAGCATCGAATGCACTGTTGTGAGAAATCAGCATAACTGCAGCTGGCGCTTCGCCGCCCGCGCCACAACCGCCACCAGCAACGAGTGCAAACGTTGTGACGTAGTACAGATCGCATTCTTAACGCTAACAAGGACGGAAATGCATGAAACAAGGCGCCATGGCAGTACTCCTGATGCACACATGTTGTGTAAGGCAGAGACCAACAATCAAGATCTCGTCGTCGTCCTCGTCTTTCGATTCATCACCATGAACTGCTGGAGCCGTCTCTCTCAACGAAGTCTATTCCTTCCTAGCCCTCCGTACATCGACAGGGCTGCTTAAGTCAATAAGCGACGTGATGCAACTTGCTGACTGTGCTAGTTTTCAGGCTGACATCCTTCATGGGATCCGGGAAATTCAGCAGAATGTCGATATCATTGACCTGGCGTGCGACAAAAGCTCCAACGAGATGGCTCGATCAGCCGCTCAATCGAGATAGCTGCTGCCAAGCATGGTGAACAAGGTTGTTCTCAGGCCGTTATGACAAGCCACGACCCCCGCGGCTAGACCTTGCTATGCGTGATCTTCATGCCTGGCCAACCGACACACCGCAGTGATTTTTTCTCGCTGTTGTTGGAGATCTCCGCGGCAGACGGCGGTGGGTGAAGAAATTGCAGGGGCGACGGACTGTATGCTCCCACGCAACCGACATAAGAAAGGGACCGGCCTTGGTGTTGCCGTTGAAGACATTCAGCGAGTTCCTTGAGAACCGGGTTGCTTCAGCCGTATATTATATTGGCTTGGAAAACGAACTACGATTGCAAGGCTTTCAGAATCAAAGCTTTGGTATCTTCGCTTTCACTACCGCTGATCTACAGTACTATCAGCTTGGATGTCCTCCCATGCCTTATACGCGCTATGTGGCGAAACTCGGAACGAAGGTCGCGCAACACCCGACACCACCCAACTTGCGATGGACGAGCTGAGGGTGATCTTGTCGAATGTAGGGGCCTCTCTCCAAGAGGACAGCTGATGATGTTGTAAACGAATCAAAAGCAATCACTGCTTGCTAGTGTTGAGTGGTGGCAAGGCACCCGGGCCTCTTTGCAGATCTCAGCAATGAAAGGTCGCAGGCTTACATGTTGAGACAGTCCGTCTCAGGCAAATGACTGTGCGAGGAGTCGACCTATCAAGCATGCCAAGATCCAACCCGCGACTGTTGGCAAGTTGCCAAACCTCTCTGTAACGAAGGCAGCCGCCCGCAAGAACGGGATCAAGCTTCGGGAGCGCCAAGATTCATTGGCTTCTGGCTGCATCTGAGAGTCGTCACTTGGAAGATGTTCAGCTGGTTGTTGACATTGTAGCCGAGGAACTGTCCACGATCAAATTTATTGTAACAATTGGGGCGCGGGGGGAAAAGCCATGAGCATTGAGGAGATTGGATGTCACCAAAGCTTCTGAGAATGGCAGCCTCAGTCTCATCCAGAGCCGTATCCGGCTCGGCCGTCCAAGTCTGGAAGGTGTCGATCCGCCTCATTTCGAAACCCTCCGCTGTCCCTCTTCCCAAGCAGCATGAGTCCACAGCCCAACTCAACCTGTGCACTCCAGGAGCCCAGGAAAATGCGGGGACTTGCACATATCACTGCGTGCACGAGCCAGGCAGTCTCACTGTGATGACGGCAACAACAATAATACTTCAATAGCATTACAAAACACACACACACACAAAAACTCACCAATTCATCCCTGTCCCGCTAGCATCGCTAGAATGCGCTCGTGGTTGAAGTCTATCCGCGGAACACCGCTGAGGCAACAGGCCAGGTCTCAGCGACCGCCGCAGTCGGAGGGTTGAAAGTCCACGTGATCAAGGTGTACCTTAAGCAGCAAAAAATTTCAGCTTGACCAACCAATCATGGTACCGGTTGATAATCACATCACATGGGAATCCATAGAAAGAGCAACTACTTGTACCGCACCAGCTGAGCTTGTTGCTTTATCGTTGCTCTTCTTACTCCGGCTGGCCATGCATCAGTAGTAAAAAGGGCCGTTTTTACCTGGACACCACTACAGACACTTGCTGCCAACTGCCCCATCGTTGGAGCCAAACCGAGCTGAGTTACGGATATCCGCCGCGGATGTCCTTGGCGCCGGCCATGTAGAGCAGCTGCTTCACCGTATTTTCCACCTCCACGCAGCTCTGGATGCTCGTGGCTCAGTCACAAGGCATGTCGGGGAGCGCCACCACACCACCAGCACCACTGGAAACAACAGAGGTCCAGAAAACCAAGCAACAAAGACCTCTTATCCCAGCCGCACCAAAAACAAGTCAGTGCTGTTTTCAAGCAAGCCACTCGGCAGGAATAGTCTGAGTCCTCGAATACAACCGAGCCATCCGTCACGAACAGCTCCACCTGCCCCGTTCCGGCTGGGAGGTTCGCAGGACGAGTGACGACATGCCACCCTGACGTTCTCGACATGACATGTTCAGGTTTCGTTCGCAAGCTCAATTTCTGACTTTTCTGACTTCCATGCCGTGCCGATGAAGCTCAGAGTCATGTGTAGCATGACACGCTCTGTTTTCTTCGGGCCATTGCTGGTCGAAGGGATCACGTGACTAGTCCTGCCTCGCACTGGGAGTTGGAGTGCTGGATTTCATAGCCAACCGGAACCTGAAGCTGAGCTTCAGATGCTGCTGACACTCAGAACTACGATGGCGCCGCCAATCGAGTATGGTGTTAGCCTTCATGTCACGGCGCCGTGCAGGGTTTCATCGGCTTCTGTCTGGCAGCATGGACAGCAGACGCTTGCACGACCGAGGAGCAGTGAGCCGCAACATTCCGCCAAACTGCTCGTTCGGCGGCTTGGGCCTTGGTTTTGTGGCTATCGCTTCATCTAACAACTCTAACCCAAGGCATCCACACAAGCTTCAGGTTCGTGCCTCCAAGAGGTGCAAAAGAAGGCAAGAACCGAACAGACTGTGCCACAAATCGTAAACCACAGGGGGCTTGGCCATTCTCCCTTAACCGCTTCGCATCGCTGGGTTCATGAGATTTGGCCCAGGGCTTCAGGGTGGCTACGTCTGGGGCCCGTTCGGAACTGTGTTGAACGGCATGAACTCGATGGTCACCTGAAGAGGTGGACGGGCAGGTAAAGCAAGATAACTCACAGTACAGTAGATGCTTTCCCAGCGCTTGAGGTCCTTCGGACATGTACCAAACCTAGGAGCCCACCTGGACGACTATGACGCTTCATGTTTCAATCGATGCGGATGTGAGGTTGCACGGAAGGAATCCTCAACAACAACTGCAACAACAACAACCACAACAAAAGCGGCGGCTAATTGGATCTAAGAACAGCTTACAGTTTTCCGGGTCGCTGTGGACGACTCCCTAGCCCTCTCCTGCTCCCGGTACGAGAACGCTTTCACAAGGCGTCACGAACATGGGAAATCGTCGGATTCCTGCATCGAATAAACGACCATCACCCGCGAAGTTGAGCCAAACAGCCCACCAAGAGGGGTATACCTCCCACCATAATGAAGGCGCGGCGGCCAAAAAGACAATATCCAGAAGCTCACAAAGCCCTTGCAAGGAATGCTGTGACATGAAGCCACTGGGTTTAGATTTGAGGATGTTCGGGCACTCTTAGAAGCGAGACCCTGGTTGAATTCAGAAGTCTTCAACTGCTGTTGCCCCTGATTCTAGTATCCTCATCATGCCCTTATCGTCCTCGTCGTCCCCTTATAGTACCCTTATCCTTATAAGGACCCTTACCTCATAATGCTCTGGAGGCCCGGGCAGGGGTAGGCGTGCGGATGATGCCAGCCTCGGTTTGGGGTTTACGGTTTGGGGTTCTGGGTTCTTTTTCGATGGTTCTTTTCCTCCCTGCTAATTACAGGTGGAATGCGCTTACAGGACTGCCTGCTGCACTCGCTGCAAACCCTAGGATGCAATGCACCAACCAACACTGCAGCACTCCCGCAGACAAGCCAAATCAGGGCTCTGGGTTTTGGGTTCAGAAACAAATGTTTTCAACAGCGAACCAAAGGGATGCTGCCATGCTGATGCTGCTGTTGCTGGTGTTGGTGGCATGCTGCTGCTTCTTATGCTGCTGGCAGTGGTGTTGCTGCTTTGTTCTGCTATCGATGCTGTTGATGCTGATGCTGATGCTGCGGCCCCTGCTGCTGTTGCTGGTTGGCATTCTGGTTAACATCCATCGCATGGTTCATGGCCAAGCGATGCTACAGGTAGAATAAAGGCAAGCATGTTGATTTTCGTCATCACCATGATGTTCATGATGATCATGAAAATTATGATGGTGCTGCTGGAGACGGTGGCAGTAGCGATGGTGATGGTGATGATGATGATGATGATGATAATGATGGTAATGATGGTGATGATGGTGATGATGGTAGTGATGATGATGATGATGATGATGATGAGGATGATGGCGATAACGATGGCGATGACGATGATGATGATGATGATGATGGCGATTATGATGACGATGGCGACAATGATGATGATTGTAACAATGGTGATAATGGTGGTGGTGGTGATGATGATGCAGGCACTTATGATGACGATGACTACGATGATGGTGATGATGATGATGATGATGATGATGACGCACGTTCAGACTTGCAACGTTCGTCGTGTGAAAACCCCGGGCCCAACGACAAGGAAATTGAATCCCTTGCTTCACTGCTATTTCTCAACTTATAGAACCGTAGTCCACAACACTACCATTACATAGACCTCATACTACCCATAACGCTAGCCGAGACAGCAACAGGAAGTAGTGGTCCTGGTAGCAGTGGTGGTGGTAGAAGCAGTGGCAGAAGTAAAATCAGCAGACAGAGTCTTCGCAAACGTAGTTGCAGTTGCAGTCGTTGAGTAGTAAGTCGTCGTCGTCGCCGTAGCAGTAGCAGTAGCAGTAGCAGTAGTAGTAGTAGTAGTAGTAGTAGTAGTAGCAGCAGCAGCAGGACCAAAAAAAGTAGCAGTAGTAGTAGTAGCAGCACCAGTAGTAGTAGTACTAGTAGTAGTACTAGTAGTATCAGTAGTAGTAGTAGCAGTAGTAGTAGCAGTAGTAGTGTTCAGGAGCAGGAGCAGTAGCAGTCGTAGCCGCCTCAGTGGCGGTGTCAGGAGTACGAGTAGGTGTGATAGTGGTAGGTAGTGGGTAGTGGAAACTGTAGTGGCAGTAGTCGTAGCCGTCGGAGAAGCCAGAAAGCTGGCAGATCAGTGGCAGAGCCATAACCAAGTGCTCGCAGTAGAAGTAAGTAAGGTTAGAAGTACCTTCATTGGGGTGATAAGTAGTTATAGTAGTTCCAGGTATTCTATAATAGTTCTCTCATCTCATCCAGGAAGATGAGCGCCCGGCTCCAGTCGGTGTTTTCATTGCCCCCACAGCCATGATGTTCATGTTGGTAAAGGTCCATACCCTCGGAAGCCCCGGATTGAGGGAGTGAAGACTTCACGCTGCTAATTAGACTTGGGTTTTGGGGCCCCATGAACGATAATTAGAATAAGGAACCCCCATAATAGTGTAGGTAATTCTGTTTGTGCTTTGAGCCTGGAGTTTGCTTGTCGCTTCGAGACAGCTCGGGTTGGGACAGCGGCGACAGAGCTTAAAGCACCACAACACAACGCAAGCGCTACTATTCTGGGGCATCGTGAACTGGCTACAGCTTAGTGGCTTAGTGGCATGTCGACATCTTGGACTTAGACTCCTGCCGCGTAGATCTGCGCAGGGTCATTCCCCACTCTTCTCAAAACACTCCAGCCCCTTGCCGGAAAAACAGTCTGGGCGCAGAGCGTGAAGCCCTGGAAGGGGTCCGAGGCTTGCTCATTGAAGTTGATACTCCACTTGTTCCTGGCTGCGCGGGCATTGGGTATTTAATTCAGCATCGCGGTGCTTCAACACCTGCACAGACGACAAAACCGAACACGCAACGGTGACAACCACCACTGCCACAACCACCACTAACACAACACCGCCACCACCACCACCAAAACCAGCAGCACCAGCAGCACCACCAGCACCATCAGCACCATCAGCACCACCACCACCACCACCACCACCACCACCACCACCACCACCGCGACCACCACCACCAACAACAACAACAACACCCCACAGCAACCAACAACAGCAACAGCAACAACAACCAACCACCAAAACCGGAACAACCACAACAGCCACCACAGCCACCATCACCATCATTGCCACCAGTACCACCAGCTCCACCACAGCACAATCACCGCGGAAGAGACAAGCACATCAAACCTTGTTTTAGCTAGCATCTATCCCTGCTTCCGAACGTATGTACTGTGATGTGAACCAAATTATTGCAATGCAATCCAATGTGATGCAATGTAACGCAATGTAATGTGAGGTATAGCATAAGGAAGTGTAATGTAGCTTACTGTAGTGTATTGTAGTGTATTGTAGTGTAATGCAGTGTAGAGCAGTGCCGTGTACGGAAATGCAATGTAGTGCAGTGCAACGTCTTGTAATGTAATCCACTGGGTTGTAATGTTGCAATGGAATGCAATGCAATCCAATGCAATGCAATGTATGCCACGATAGGTACACACACACATACATATCTTTCAGCAACATGTACATATGTGCATAGCTACACTGTCACATGAAACCATGCATATACAGCGTGGTTGCACAGTATACACTGCATATGATGTCTCGCTGCTTTATCGATAATACGGGTCACTGTGTTTGAGCACCGCTTTTCTGAACTTGGGCCGGCTGGACCATTCCGGAGTGGACATTGGGTTCCTTCGCACGCCAATGCGGAAGACGTAGAGACCTGATGCAGCAGGCATTAGAGAGTACGGGCCACATGTACAGTGTGCCACTGAGCGCACGATGCTCCCACGCATGTTAACTCCTCCCACGCGGTGAATCGTACATAGGTTCCCTATATTCACAAGCAAAGATCACAGTGGCTGACTCCATCATGTCACACAATCGTGCAGATCACAGGGAGGATAAGGCTGAGACTGTTTCTTCCCAGACCTCAAGTGGATGCTCCAAACAACTGTTCAGAACCTCTATGAGCTAGGGTCCGTCCGGAAGGACTCTTTTGGTGCTGAGGGTCTGCTTGTCTTTAGTTTGCCCATGCCGATCACACTTCCGGATTTTCCGCTGGCCTTTTTCAGAGGGCCCGGCCACTTGGCACGGTGATGAGGGCTTCGCGCCCGTTCCCGGCACACTTTGTGGGGCGGTACCTGAGCCACAGAGTTCACAATGACCCTGAAAAAGAACATATATGGAGGGGCGAAGAACGAAGGAGAAATCATAGCTTGCACCTACACTTCTAGCAAGAAACTCCCAGACCCTCATGAGCACCATGCCTATGTGAACCAGAGGTATCTTTCTGAACGTGCAGCAGTCGTGTACATCCGAAACACATGTGATCTAAGGCAGCCACTCTGGTGGCCACTCAGAATAATCTGGCGGCCACACATCCTGCAAGGTTGTTCGCCGCTTCACGGCACCAAAGTCAAGTACACAGACACCTAACATCAAGTACCAACCGAGAAATTTGTCCTGTGTGTTGGGGCCGAAGACATCGTTCCTGTCCCTGGCAAGTGTGGGTCGATCCAAAGTTGTGTGAGGCAGGCCTCTCATGAGTCAAAGATGCGAAGTATACTGACAGCAAGCAGATCTCAAGCTGATCTTAAGATCTGAAGCGACTCGGTGCACTAGACGTGCAGAAACGCTGGAGCGAAGAGTCTGGGAGCTGTGGAAAGCAAGCCGCGAATGTGCTTCAAACTCATCCACAGGAAGGCTGCTTGTCGAAAACTGCGCCCGGAGATACGAGATTTTCTGAGCAAGGATGCGGTGGACCCGGCGCTTCGGCCACTGCTATGGCGCCCAAAAAGCACTCACTGCCGGGCATGACAGCGTGACATTAACTGGCCGCGCGGACGTGATCACGTACGGCAGGCAGTTGTCATCGAACTCAAAGCCACGTGGCCTAAGCCATGTACTGAACAACTGGGAAGCAGGCCAGTTTTGCAGGTATGAGAAAGGGTGACTTCAGGAGAAGTTAAGGGTCGTGCCCACGCAGGGCAAGGATTCCAGTCGCCAGTGGCCTGGCACAGGTCAGCTGTCAACCGCTGAGCAGCGAGTGTGGAAGCTCCGAAGCGAGTTGCCCGACCTGATGTTCAAACTGAACTGGAAGACGAGCTGGTTCAACCTGAGCCGAGGGCCGAGAGGGTCTACCCTGAGCAGAGTCTGATAATGAATCTTCGCATTTCCTGTGCAAAGCGAGGTTTTCTCAGACTTGATCAAAAGGATTGTAGTTGTTCCTTGGCTACGAGATGCCTTCAAAAATTCAGCCTGAAACTCAAGACCTCAAACACTGAGCCTTAGACTAAACGCCTTCCACTCTGATTCAACCCCAAAGCCTCAAGCCCAAATGCAAAACCTGCAACCTCCAATCAACAAAATAAACAAATCGGACCTCCGGCAAACTAAATCTATGGCCGCAGTTGCGCTTTCCGTCCTCTCGGCCCTCCCAGCATAAATGCCGAACAATCCCAAAACCTAACCCTCAAATCCCAAACGAGCCCAAACCAGGAACACCAAAAGCAAAATATAGGTGCCTCAAGAATCACCTACACGATTTTTGGGGGGCTCCTTATCATAATTACAGTATCAAGTACCCCAAGGCCCCTGTTTATTTATTAGGGCCCCTATACCAAACCCTTATAGAAACCCGTATAGAACCCCTTAGAGGAACTCTTGTAGACCCCTTGAAAGGAGCTAAACAATCTTCATCTTGGGGTTTGGCTTGCCCGGCCGATCGTTGCGGTTCGTGGCCGCACGCTGTGTCTGAAAGGGGCGGCGGGTTTCTTGCAGGATTCTCCGTGCTGCTTAAATTACATGTACTCATATAGTTAGTCTTCTCATTGATGCTTAGTATGGTTATGAACATGGGGTGGTTTTGACTGCTGCTACCTGTATGTGTGACATGATTGCCACTCTGATCTAGCTATGGTCATCGGTGTGTAATCTTCTTGCTGTGTCAGTAGCAGTCGTAGTACTGCTACAGCTGCTACTATGGTTAAGACGATGATGATACATGGCTTTCCATTGAACTGTGTAATGCTGAAGACAGATGACAGAATTAAGCCAAGCAGGACGGAAGCCAACACCTCAACACTAAACCCAAAATGCCATAAACACTGCAAAGCCCCTAATACAGCCATTAAACTGGGAGGTTGAGGATTTGCGGCTTTGGGTTCAGGGATAATGCTCTTGACGGGTCAGTTTTTTGTGTGATTGCTTCGGCTCAGGAGCCCGGCAGCCTCAAAGCCTGAGAGCCTTCAATGCGCCCCAAACATGTCGGAGCTTCATGTCTCCCGACTTCAGGCCCCTATGGGAGAGGCCCATGAACATACTTAAGGTTTAGGGCTGCAGTTAAACCCTACACCCGAAACCCTGAACCCTTGTCCGGGTTTCGGGTTCGGGTCTCCCTAAACACGCCGAGCCTGGTCCAGGGCCGTCATCCTCGCCTGCGTCAAGTATTCTGGGTTGAAGGCTTGAGGCACTAAGGGCGTAGTTAAGGCCCGAGGTTTAGGTTTCAGGACTGATTGCAGCATGAACGTTGCTGGTGGGCGGAAAGAGTTTTTCAAAGGCACTCCGTCGCCCTAGATTCCGCTGGGGCTTTCTAAGTAGGGCTCCTGGCATTTTGGGTGTCCTCGTAATGATGGTCCTGCGTTTTGAGGTCTATGTGTTCTGTATTCTCAAAAACCCATCCGCCTCTCGCATCATGTCGTCAATGCGGAAACCCTCTGCCGCAAGCTCCTGAAAGTGGACGGCTGGCATCACTCTTCTGCGATCTCTTGGTCAGCAATATAGTACAAACATTGCGCACAGGACTCGGTCCTTGTCCAACGTATCCGTGGAGGGATAGTTGGAGACCTGGCATGCCAGAAGTTCCAGCAGGGAGCTAAGGAGCCTAGTCGTAAACCCTAAACGCTAAGCCCTAAACCCTAAACCCTATAATCTAAACCCTATAAACCCTAAACCCTATAAACCCTAGACCCTAAGCCCTAATCCCCAAACCCTAAGCCCTAAACCCAAGCATAGTGCTCGGAGCCGGTGACCGCTTCCGACCCAGCTCTCAAGGTTTGGTTCCGGATCCCAGCAAGCTACCTATAGTCTCCATTGTGGTTCCTTTTTGTTGG